CTCTGGGTCAGGAATCAATCACTCTCGGTCAGGAATCAATCCCTCTGTGTCAGGAATCAATCCCTCTGGGTCAGGAATCAATCCCTCTGGGTCAGGAATCAATCCCTCTGGGTCAGGAATCAATCCCTCTGTGTCGCTCCTGGGCTGGGAAATCACCGAGTTCGTGCCTCTCACATTCCGTATCCCAAATTTCTCTCCTCCCAGATGACTCTTCCACCAAAGTGGACGTGAAGGAGCCCTTGGAGGTGGATGCCAGCACTTTGTAAGTGAGCCCTGGAGCTGGGATTAACCCCGGACCCCCTGCCCTGGGCACGGTGGGAAGCTCAGCCTGGCCCCGCTGGGCCTCGGCGGGTGTTGGCACAGATCCTGTGCGGGCCTGGATTGTCCTGCCCTCAGCATTCCAGGGACAGTCACGTCCACAGCCAGCAGTCCCTGTGTCAGCACAGCACGGGGGCAGCGGCTGATCGGCCCTGCTGGAGCTGGGAGAAGGGTTTTCCCAAAAAACCCCTTCGTTTGGGAAACTTTTCTCTCCTGGATCGCTGGAAGCCTCTGTAGCGTTTGTGGGATGGAATCCCAACACACAATCCATTGGTTAACATGGAGGGATGCTCTTGGAATAGCCAGTATCGAGGGATGCTCTTGGAATGTCCAGTGCTGAGGGATGTTCTTGGAGTATCCAACGTGGAGGGATGCTCTTGGAATAGCCAGCATTAAGGGATGCTCTTGGAATGTCCAACGCTGAGGGATGTTCTTGGAGTATCCAACGCTGAGGGATGTTCTTGGAGTATCCAACGTGGAGGGATGCTCTTGGAATATCCAACATGGAGGGATGCCCTTGGAATAGCCAATATTGAGGGATGCTCCTGGAATGTCCAATGCTGAGGGATGTTCTTGGAGTATCCAACATGGAGGGATGTTCTTGGAGTATCCAACGTGGAGGGATGCTCTTGGAATAGCCAGCATTAAGGGTTGCTCTTGGAGTATCCAACACGGAGGGATGGATGCTCTTGAAATGTTTAACATGGAGGAATTATGGACACTATTGGAAATTTGCAGCTTTAGCCCCAAAATGAGGAGTTTGGGGATTTTTCCCTGTGCTGTTCCCAACGAGGAAGCACCTGGAGGGATAAT